AATGTCTTTGGGAGGCATTAGACATAAGAACCATAAAAAGTCAGAAACTGCAAAATGAAGTGGTTGAAATTATAAAAAGAAAAAAAAAGCTTCTTGTCCCATTCCTTCCGTTTGTGGTCACACTTAGGCACTTATCATTTATCGCCGTAACTTCTACTACAATTTATTATTTAGCAAAATGTGTTATTGCCAAAGGCCTCGACACACTTTCCGTAATTTCTGGACTATTAGAGAGTAGAAATATAGCAAATGCTTCCTCTTCCCTTCCTACTCTGGATGACAGAGTCAAATAGATTGGCTTTGTTTTCCTTTGTCTTTTCTATTATTTAGTGCAAGCCGTAACAATCTTGAGTTGGCACTGTCTTCTTTATAACGCAGTAGTCCAGCTTTTCAAAACGCGTTGATAAACAACACATCTCAGTTTTCAAAACGTGTGAAAAAGGTTGTCTTATAGTCCGGAAATTACGGTAACAAGGGGAAAAAGGCTTTTGGCGTGGAAATGCATCAAATATCTTCATAAACTCCGTTTTGTGGTGGTACAGATTCACTGCATGGACACCCAATACTTACATCGCTGCGGACGTCCGGCGAGGGGTCCTGAGGGTTTAGACATGCATGCGCCACCTTGATTACGTGTTCCAACTTTCGGGGCTGCTCCTCAACCTTTGCGGCGAGGAAAAGAGCGGCCGGAGCGATGACCTGAAGGACAGGAACGACTCTTAGGCTCGTCAACGTCCAGTTAAAAGCCGGCAAGAGCGAAAAGAAAACCAGTACTTACATTTCTGTGAAACCTTGTAAATGATTGGACCATGTAGAACCGATGCATGTACACAATAGCTGTATTAATAGTTAGTTGGGATCTGACGCAGGACGGTTAAGGACAACAGAAAAACAAAACACAGAAGCAATAAAAATCAACACCATGTCAGCCTCTCTTTAGGTTCACTACCATCAGCCTGTTTTTCTTTATTGGGTCAAAGGATTCCCCTATGAATTTATACTACAACCATCTGAAACACAGTCACGACACTCAGATGATCTCCATTCCACTCACTGAGAGACTACTGGCACCAAGTGGAGGGGCCTCTGCTGAATTAGGTCAGTCACTTTGAAGAAGACGAATCACCTCTTCTATGTTGCATATTTATGTTATATAAATCAGTTTCCACTTTGACATTAAAGGGGTTTGCATTCTTATGACAAAAAATGTTGATCATGACTGATTTGCAACGGAATAAAGGGGTAAACATCCAAGGAGGTGATTACTTTTTATGGGCACTATAAACATTAGTGAGTTGCCGGAAGAAGCATTTTATATAAACAATACACTAAATGATGCCTTTAGATAACTACTACGTTGTTTGGGACACTCTAAATATGATGGTTACAGTTACATTAACCAGCTTGGCTACGTTGTTTTCCGTCCTAAACAGTTTCACTAAACAGACAAAGCTAATGCTAACGTTTATAAGGCCTGTGAACCACAGAGGCCTTGTCGGCTGCGGTTAGCATGTACGGTTGCCGTCGGAGAGAATAAACAAGCCATAATGTACTAAAATCAGCAACAAATGCGCTAAACAGCTATTAATATAATTAAAAAAACTACAAGGCCTCGTCCAAACCACAACAACAACATAAAGCGACCACGCTCTCGGTCGAGCCGGCTTCGAGAGAAGCTAAACTTTGCTAGCCGACGAGCTAATGCTAATGTTCGCTACGTGCGACGCACCACGACAAAAGATACACATTGAGCCGCTGCCCCATGTCCTGGAGGAGGTTCGCTGCCTGTTGTCGGTAGGACAGCTCCTTGTCGGGATCAAGTCCAGCTTGCCGAGACGGGCTGTTGTCGATCTGCTGTCGGGAGTAGTACCATTTGTTGTTACAGCTTGAAGGGACCGAACGAAACGAAGCCGCCATCACTGAGAAGGACGAGAGTTTAAAATTTCTTCGCGTCACAGGAACATACGTCACACACCAGGGAGCGGTGCATTTCCGCGGACGAACAGCAGGTGTCTCCAAAACTCAGTTACATTCCAGCTAAGCACAAAAACACGGCACAGAAACATTCAAGATTCTGGCTAAAATATACAACAAAAGTATTATGTGCTTAATTTAAAGGTGCGTCTTTATTTAATGTCCAGCTGTATACATATGCATATTTATCTTGTTAAAAGTACTTAAAAGTTTGATGCAATTTACAAATCTGTTAGTTACGTCTCTTGTTTCTTGTAGTCTGTTAGATTTGTTTATGTTTGTATGAATATGCACGCTTCCATTTACCTTAACCTTAATGCTGGTACACCAGAATTTCCCCACTGTGGGACCTATTTACATCTCTTGCTGCATTTAAACTTTAAAATGCAGTGCTATAAAAGTAGTTGATTTCCAAAATGTTTCTTCAAAAATCATTTATATCATCAAAACATTTAAATATCAAATTAAGATAGAGTAAATACAGTTTTCAAATGATTTTCATCCTGGGCCTATTTTAAAATATAATTTCTCATCTTAAGTCAAGGATTAACAACATCGATCACATTTTATTTTGTTCAGTTTCCTGTTCTTTCTCAGCTTAAAAATAAATATTAATGTTTTGGAACTTCAGTAAACACCAGTAGGAAGTGTTATCCACATTTCTGCATGGATAAAACACAGAACCGTGTCAAAACCGTCAAATTTGCTCCAAGAGAGCATCAGCAACTCATCATAAAAAACAGGCAATTAGTGTTTCACAGAGTAACATCAATAAGGTTTCATGCAAATGTTTCAGATCATTTTTAAATTATTTAAATTAATTTGTTGATTTGAAACATTTAAGTGGGGCAGAAGAAACCTGGTACTTCATAAATCTAAATAGCAATTTTATCAGTATTTAGCAATTCATACAGAAAAAACCAAGAAACATGACAGGAGTCAAAAAATCGAAAACAATTTATTTTAAATTTCAAAACGTTATAAAATGGACAGATAACCTGAAGCAGTATTTTGATGGTATCCCTCAAAAGGATAACAATGAATTAAAAGGCTGCGTGTTGAATCAAAAGTACAAATAAATTCAAATAAAAAAAGTTCAAGGAAATATCTGGTTTGATAAACAAATAGAAAACTGAAGTTTTTCCAGCAATGAACAAAAAAAAACAAACAAAAAAAACATTTGAACGTCTGTTTTGATTTAAGTTGTAATTCAGCTACATTGATGTCATAAATTCAACACCTTAATTTACATCAAACAGACAGAAATCGACTTTTAACAGAGCCAAGGCTGCACAGTAAATGCTTGATATATCTCCTGTCAATATCCAGGTTTCTAGGCAGCAGGATTGTTTATTATTGGGGTATTAAGAAGCTGCAGGAAATAAAATATTTATTGCTGCATCATTATTGAAGCTAATTTTGAAAAAGAACGGCAGGAAGTTAGTCTGTTCCTGTAAGTTTTCATAAGAAGTAGAAACAGATAAATATGGAGCTTCTAGACTCCCAGGAAAACAGTCTGTTCCAGAGTCTAACCCTCAGATATGATCCTTTATTTAAGTGTACTTTTGATGAACAAAAATCCAGTTACTGATTATTTTATCCCCAAAAATCTGTTGAACAGCCTTAAAAAACCACAACAAAAAAAAAGTCCACTACAAAAACAAATTTTTTTTTTAAACTTTTCCGAATCTTTCCGCACGTTTCATTTTCTTCGCCTGCAGAGAAAAAGCAAACAAGCAGAGGCATTATGAAGCAGAGGCATTATGAAGCAGAGGCATTATTAAGCAGCTGAATTAGTGGTTTTTAATGATGAGTGAAACATGGACGTTACCTCGACGTCGCCTCCTCCAACCGACGGAGCGCTTGTTAAGATCCCAAACCTCTCCTTTCTCTTTTTCAGCTTTTCATCTTCCACAATCTGAATAAAAACAACGAAAAGATGCAAAACCCAAGAAGACTGAATGTTGTGAATGAGTAAAACAGTGAGATAATCCGGTTATTAAAGGTTTTTTTTTGTTTACATTTTCGATGTAATATTATCCAACAGATTCACTTAAACGATCACGGATTAATGCCACATTGGACAGAGGTGTGTAAACTTTCAGATCCGCTGTAAATGCCAAACCCAGAGAATTTTGGAAGTAAATAAGTTTAGGAACAACGTTTGTCACCTTCTGTGAGACTGATGAGACGTTCATGCCGAATCTTTCCGCTCGTTTCTTCAGGACGTCAACGTTGACCTGAAACAAACACACAAACCCGTCAGACAAACAGCAGCAGCTGGAGGAAAAGAGGGAGAGAAAGAAAGACAGGCCAAGAAAGAAAGAATGGAAGGAAGAGAGAAAAAGAGATGAAAAATAATGGAAGGAAATTAAAAAAGAGTAAAATAAGGAAAGAAAGAGCAAAAGAAATAAAGAAAAAAATAAAAGAAAGGGTGAAAGAAGTAAGGTAAGAAAGAGAAAGGAAAAAAGAAATAATAAAAAAGAAAGAGAAAAAGAAAGAGTAATTTCTGAAAAACTCACGCCAGCTTTGCTGTTTGCCACAATGCCTGTTCACAAGATAAGAACAAGAAAGAAAATAATCATTTGCCTCCATTCATGAGAGTCAGGAAAGTGAAAATGAGACAAAGAGGTTCGTTAAAACTTTCACTAAATCAATCAAGAGACTCAACATCAGCCGCTTTTCCAGTTTTATAGAAAACACTGATTGGAGGGAATGTTTAAAAGGGGCTGGGAAATAATCACCCAATATTACACAACACTTCAACCATAACAAGATTATCTATGAAGATGAAACATCAATACTAAAAAATGGAAACAAAGCAAATCTCTTCAGTAATATCAGATTGCATCAGACTGGATGGAATGGGATTCTCTGACTTGTTTATCTTATTGACATCTGCTGTAAATTAATACATGAATAAGATGAGGTGAACTGAAGGTGATGCTGTTCTGCTTCTACCAGCTGAAACACTGGTGTCCCCCTGTTATCATAAAAAGTTCAGTTTGATTTAAATNAGAGTAGAAATATAGCAAATGCTTCCTCTTCCCTTCCTACTCTGGATGACAGAGTCAAATAGATTGGCTTTGTTTTCCTTTGTCTTTTCTATTATTTAGTGCAAGCCGTAACAATCTTGAGTTGGCACTGTCTTCTTTATAACGCAGTAGTCCAGCTTTTCAAAACGCGTTGATAAACAACACATCTCAGTTTTCAAAACGTGTGAAAAAGGTTGTCTTATAGTCCGGAAATTACGGTAACAAGGGGAAAAAGGCTTTTGGCGTGGAAATGCATCAAATATCTTCATAAACTCCGTTTTGTGGTGGTACAGATTCACTGCATGGACACCCAATACTTACATCGCTGCGGACGTCCGGCGAGGGGTCCTGAGGGTTTAGACATGCATGCGCCACCTTGATTACGTGTTCCAACTTTCGGGGCTGCTCCTCAACCTTTGCGGCGAGGAAAAGAGCGGCCGGAGCGATGACCTGAAGGACAGGAACGACTCTTAGGCTCGTCAACGTCCAGTTAAAAGCCGGCAAGAGCGAAAAGAAAACCAGTACTTACATTTCTGTGAAACCTTGTAAATGATTGGACCATGTAGAACCGATGCATGTACACAATAGCTGTATTAATAGTTAGTTGGGATCTGACGCAGGACGGTTAAGGACAACAGAAAAACAAAACACAGAAGCAATAAAAATCAACACCATGTCAGCCTCTCTTTAGGTTCACTACCATCAGCCTGTTTTTCTTTATTGGGTCAAAGGATTCCCCTATGAATTTATACTACAACCATCTGAAACACAGTCACGACACTCAGATGATCTCCATTCCACTCACTGAGAGACTACTGGCACCAAGTGGAGGGGCCTCTGCTGAATTAGGTCAGTCACTTTGAAGAAGACGAATCACCTCTTCTATGTTGCATATTTATGTTATATAAATCAGTTTCCACTTTGACATTAAAGGGGTTTGCATTCTTATGACAAAAAATGTTGATCATGACTGATTTGCAACGGAATAAAGGGGTAAACATCCAAGGAGGTGATTACTTTTTATGGGCACTATAAACATTAGTGAGTTGCCGGAAGAAGCATTTTATATAAACAATACACTAAATGATGCCTTTAGATAACTACTACGTTGTTTGGGACACTCTAAATATGATGGTTACAGTTACATTAACCAGCTTGGCTACGTTGTTTTCCGTCCTAAACAGTTTCACTAAACAGACAAAGCTAATGCTAACGTTTATAAGGCCTGTGAACCACAGAGGCCTTGTCGGCTGCGGTTAGCATGTACGGTTGCCGTCGGAGAGAATAAACAAGCCATAATGTACTAAAATCAGCAACAAATGCGCTAAACAGCTATTAATATAATTAAAAAAACTACAAGGCCTCGTCCAAACCACAACAACAACATAAAGCGACCACGCTCTCGGTCGAGCCGGCTTCGAGAGAAGCTAAACTTTGCTAGCCGACGAGCTAATGCTAATGTTCGCTACGTGCGACGCACCACGACAAAAGATACACATTGAGCCGCTGCCCCATGTCCTGGAGGAGGTTCGCTGCCTGTTGTCGGTAGGACAGCTCCTTGTCGGGATCAAGTCCAGCTTGCCGAGACGGGCTGTTGTCGATCTGCTGTCGGGAGTAGTACCATTTGTTGTTACAGCTTGAAGGGACCGAACGAAACGAAGCCGCCATCACTGAGAAGGACGAGAGTTTAAAATTTCTTCGCGTCACAGGAACATACGTCACACACCAGGGAGCGGTGCATTTCCGCGGACGAACAGCAGGTGTCTCCAAAACTCAGTTACATTCCAGCTAAGCACAAAAACACGGCACAGAAACATTCAAGATTCTGGCTAAAATATACAACAAAAGTATTATGTGCTTAATTTAAAGGTGCGTCTTTATTTAATGTCCAGCTGTATACATATGCATATTTATCTTGTTAAAAGTACTTAAAAGTTTGATGCAATTTACAAATCTGTTAGTTACGTCTCTTGTTTCTTGTAGTCTGTTAGATTTGTTTATGTTTGTATGAATATGCACGCTTCCATTTACCTTAACCTTAATGCTGGTACACCAGAATTTCCCCACTGTGGGACCTATTTACATCTCTTGCTGCATTTAAACTTTAAAATGCAGTGCTATAAAAGTAGTTGATTTCCAAAATGTTTCTTCAAAAATCATTTATATCATCAAAACATTTAAATATCAAATTAAGATAGAGTAAATACAGTTTTCAAATGATTTTCATCCTGGGCCTATTTTAAAATATAATTTCTCATCTTAAGTCAAGGATTAACAACATCGATCACATTTTATTTTGTTCAGTTTCCTGTTCTTTCTCAGCTTAAAAATAAATATTAATGTTTTGGAACTTCAGTAAACACCAGTAGGAAGTGTTATCCACATTTCTGCATGGATAAAACACAGAACCGTGTCAAAACCGTCAAATTTGCTCCAAGAGAGCATCAGCAACTCATCATAAAAAACAGGCAATTAGTGTTTCACAGAGTAACATCAATAAGGTTTCATGCAAATGTTTCAGATCATTTTTAAATTATTTAAATTAATTTGTTGATTTGAAACATTTAAGTGGGGCAGAAGAAACCTGGTACTTCATAAATCTAAATAGCAATTTTATCAGTATTTAGCAATTCATACAGAAAAAACCAAGAAACATGACAGGAGTCAAAAAATCGAAAACAATTTATTTTAAATTTCAAAACGTTATAAAATGGACAGATAACCTGAAGCAGTATTTTGATGGTATCCCTCAAAAGGATAACAATGAATTAAAAGGCTGCGTGTTGAATCAAAAGTACAAATAAATTCAAATAAAAAAAGTTCAAGGAAATATCTGGTTTGATAAACAAATAGAAAACTGAAGTTTTTCCAGCAATGAACAAAAAAAAACAAACAAAAAAAACATTTGAACGTCTGTTTTGATTTAAGTTGTAATTCAGCTACATTGATGTCATAAATTCAACACCTTAATTTACATCAAACAGACAGAAATCGACTTTTAACAGAGCCAAGGCTGCACAGTAAATGCTTGATATATCTCCTGTCAATATCCAGGTTTCTAGGCAGCAGGATTGTTTATTATTGGGGTATTAAGAAGCTGCAGGAAATAAAATATTTATTGCTGCATCATTATTGAAGCTAATTTTGAAAAAGAACGGCAGGAAGTTAGTCTGTTCCTGTAAGTTTTCATAAGAAGTAGAAACAGATAAATATGGAGCTTCTAGACTCCCAGGAAAACAGTCTGTTCCAGAGTCTAACCCTCAGATATGATCCTTTATTTAAGTGTACTTTTGATGAACAAAAATCCAGTTACTGATTATTTTATCCCCAAAAATCTGTTGAACAGCCTTAAAAAACCACAACAAAAAAAAAGTCCACTACAAAAACAAATTTTTTTTTTAAACTTTTCCGAATCTTTCCGCACGTTTCATTTTCTTCGCCTGCAGAGAAAAAGCAAACAAGCAGAGGCATTATGAAGCAGAGGCATTATGAAGCAGAGGCATTATTAAGCAGCTGAATTAGTGGTTTTTAATGATGAGTGAAACATGGACGTTACCTCGACGTCGCCTCCTCCAACCGACGGAGCGCTTGTTAAGATCCCAAACCTCTCCTTTCTCTTTTTCAGCTTTTCATCTTCCACAATCTGAATAAAAACAACGAAAAGATGCAAAACCCAAGAAGACTGAATGTTGTGAATGAGTAAAACAGTGAGATAATCCGGTTATTAAAGGTTTTTTTTTGTTTACATTTTCGATGTAATATTATCCAACAGATTCACTTAAACGATCACGGATTAATGCCACATTGGACAGAGGTGTGTAAACTTTCAGATCCGCTGTAAATGCCAAACCCAGAGAATTTTGGAAGTAAATAAGTTTAGGAACAACGTTTGTCACCTTCTGTGAGACTGATGAGACGTTCATGCCGAATCTTTCCGCTCGTTTCTTCAGGACGTCAACGTTGACCTGAAACAAACACACAAACCCGTCAGACAAACAGCAGCAGCTGGAGGAAAAGAGGGAGAGAAAGAAAGACAGGCCAAGAAAGAAAGAATGGAAGGAAGAGAGAAAAAGAGATGAAAAATAATGGAAGGAAATTAAAAAAGAGTAAAATAAGGAAAGAAAGAGCAAAAGAAATAAAGAAAAAAATAAAAGAAAGGGTGAAAGAAGTAAGGTAAGAAAGAGAAAGGAAAAAAGAAATAATAAAAAAGAAAGAGAAAAAGAAAGAGTAATTTCTGAAAAACTCACGCCAGCTTTGCTGTTTGCCACAATGCCTGTTCACAAGATAAGAACAAGAAAGAAAATAATCATTTGCCTCCATTCATGAGAGTCAGGAAAGTGAAAATGAGACAAAGAGGTTCGTTAAAACTTTCACTAAATCAATCAAGAGACTCAACATCAGCCGCTTTTCCAGTTTTATAGAAAACACTGATTGGAGGGAATGTTTAAAAGGGGCTGGGAAATAATCACCCAATATTACACAACACTTCAACCATAACAAGATTATCTATGAAGATGAAACATCAATACTAAAAAATGGAAACAAAGCAAATCTCTTCAGTAATATCAGATTGCATCAGACTGGATGGAATGGGATTCTCTGACTTGTTTATCTTATTGACATCTGCTGTAAATTAATACATGAATAAGATGAGGTGAACTGAAGGTGATGCTGTTCTGCTTCTACCAGCTGAAACACTGGTGTCCCCCTGTTATCATAAAAAGTTCAGTTTGATTTAAATATAACAAATCCTGAGAAAAGGAAACAGTTTTAGTGTTTTCTATGCATTAGGCTTCTGGTGAGGACGATGATGTACCTGGAGAGGGGCTGGAAGAATCAGAGGGCGCTCCAAACCTGCAGGAAAACAACGGAAAATAAACTCGGCATGACATAAAGGATACAAACAATGTTGTGACTTTTAGACAATTTAGATGCTCAGCAAGTTGTTTAATGTAACAACACAATTTCAAGAAGCTGAGGTGAAATTGTTTGTTCCTGTCACTTATTTCAAAATTTCCAAGATCCCAACATTTTGTCTTGTGAAAGAAATGACAGAAAGGAAGAACAAGGTGAATTAGAGGTCAACCTTGCTGCACGTAAGGCCTTCTTGCTCTCGGCTGATGCTGGCAGGTTGAAACGCTCAGCTCTTTTCTGTAGTCTCTGTTCAAAAAAAGATAGATGTTAAACACATTTAGTTTCCTGTCTTTCACTGAAAGTTTCACTGTGACATGAAAACGAGCTGAAATAAAGTTACAGGAAATTATACAACTAGAAGTGCCAATCAGGAGAATATGTCATCTTAGTCCATATTTCATAAGACTGTTTAGGTTCAGTAACATTCAACAAAATGTTTCCACATTATCATAATTAGTTTGTAGAATTTTGATGAATTCAATGCAGTTTAGAATTAGGTTGTAATGTAACAAAATACAGAAAAAGTGAAGCGCTGTGAATACTTTCCAGATGCTCTGCATAAATATTATAAACCTGCATTTTTCCATGCTACTGTAATATTTAGTCGGTTGTACAGAGTCTATCAGCAGCAGATGTTCACTCATGGAAAAGAGGGGAAAGAAGAAAAGCAGTGTCTAATTTCAAAAATGAAAAAGAAAAGGAATAATTGATCTGCTTTAGGAGAAAACAAGTCAGACGTACTTCACTGGCAGATAAGGGAGGACTTATTTTCACCACCTTCTTCTCAGCAGGCCTGAAAAAAATAAATAAGAATTACTAATAAAGGACTTGCACATTTTCAAGAAAGATTTAATAAAAAAAAAATAACACAAAATAAAACAACACATTTCTTCTTCATCATAGAAGGCAAAGATTATAAAAACAATTTTGTTTGAACCTTTGGAAAAAGAAGGAAACTAGAATCAAATGAACATTCCCAACTGATTTAAGAAACACTTACGGCTCACTCTCAATCACTTCAGAACCATTGTCCACTTTTATGGTGTCGGAGCTCTCCACTTTACCAAAGTCCTGAAAATAAAACAGGAACCTTAATATTTAACAAAGTTACTGCACAGTAGCATGAGATGTGAAGTGAAGTTCTTTTACCACAGAATCGTCAGCCAGCACATCATCGACGTCCACATCTTCTTCTGTTGTTCAAAATGTGAAAGAAAGACATTTCCAACACGAAAAACAGGAATATTAGCAAGTTTTAGTGATGAGATACCATAGAAGACAAGAAACACAAATTAAAATAAGTATTTGTACAGTACATTGTAACTCCTACTGTTAATCTGGTAGATGTTGTGTCTCTTACATTTGAGTTGTAAACTTGTCTTACTTAAGGTGAATCTTAATTTTTCTATGAGTAACAAACAAAATGTTTTATATAATCTTACATCACAAGAGATTTACTTTAACTCACCCCTCAAAAAATTGAATAGTAATATTGCAATGTCATATTTTCTAGTGGTAACCCAGTAAACACCTTTGCAGGTGATAAATATAGGTGTGTGAACACACTGAGCCTCACCGTGCTCCTCCAGGTAGGCCTGGAGTCGGGCGATCAGGTCTCCTTTGTTCCCCTTGGTCTCCAGACCTCGGGCTTCACACTCCTGCCTCAGTTCAGCAAGCTGCACAGCACAAACAAACACAACCCGTTGTCTTTATTGTTCGTAGTTTAATAAAAGAAAAAAAGTTATATTTGAAAAAATAAATTGTAAACAAAAGCAAGCAAAAGAAGAGCAGTA